GGACCCTTGCGACGCTCCCCCCCACGGGGCCAGCAGCGACGAAATTGCTGCATTCACACCATTAGACGCACTGACTTCCCCACCCACATTTTGGAGGGGAAAAAGTGCGTCTTATGGTGCAAAAAATACGGTATCTCACTGTGGAGGGAGAGCCCTGCCTTTTCAGCGTTGATACTTTACTCAAGCAAAACAGAATGGATGTATATCATCCACTCTTATCCATTGCTCATAATACTGGAAGCCAGCCTGTGCTCATTTAATGTAGACATGGTCTTACACTTATTAGAAGCTTGGGTCTGCAGATTTGTGACAGAGAGATGAAGACAAATTTCACACATGATATGCTTGAGACTGATGCCTTTATATAATTTTGTAGAATGATCAGAAATAGTGTCCAGCTATCAGCATGCATTCAGTGCATCTCCTACCCTAGCAGCTACCTTTGGACACTGCCATCATTGGAGACGTTAACTGAGGATACACTGAGGATACTCCTTGTGGGGAGGGGGGAAGGGGGCTTCTGGTAGTGGGTGATTCGATTGTCAGGAACATAGAATGAGGGGTTTGTGACGGTTGTGAGGACCACACGGCGACTTGCCTGCCTGGTGTAAAGGTTGCAGACATCACATCTCGTGTGGATAGGCTGGTAGAGAGTGCTGGGGAACGAGGTAGCAGTGGTGGTGCATATCGGCACCAACAATGTGAGGAAATGTCGCTGTGAGGTCCCGGAGGCCAAATTTAGGTTGTTAGGGAAGACGCTCAAAGCCAGGACCTCAAAGGTAGCATTCTCGGAAGTGCTACCTGTTCCATGTGCAGGGCCAGCTAGGCAGGCAGAGCTCAGGGGTCTCAACACGTGGATGAGACGGTGGTGTCAGGGGGAGGGCTTTAGATTCATTAGGGAACATTTTGGGACAATCCAGGCCTGTACAAGAGGGACGGGCTTCACTTGAACAAACACAGAACCAGACTGCTGGCGTGTTACATTAAAAGGTGGCAGATAAGTTTTTAAACTGAATCCTGGGGGAAAGCCGACAGGAGCCGAGCAGCATCCGGTTTGAGACTCCTCATTCCTGTGGAATGAGGGAGGAGAGGGTAGAGAACTGCAAAGTGATGACAGTATAGGAATTAGGACTGGGAGTATGATGGGACATGATAGCTGGTCCACTAGAATGAGAAGCTGTGGGGGAAAAAAAGAAACAAAAAAGCAGCCCTTCTTGGGGGACCCCGTATGCAGGTGCTTTTATACAAATGGCCAACGCATCGCAGCAAAGATGGGACAGCTAGAACATTTGGTGGTTAGTGATAACATTGATATAGTGGCCATAGCAGAAACCTGGTGGAATTCAGAGAACCAGTGGGATACTGCAATCCCAGACTATAAACTCTGTAAGAGGGATAGGGAGGGGCATGTTGGAGGTAGGGTGGCCATCTATGTCAAAGAAGGGGTAGAATCCAGTAGAATGGAGATGGATGGCGGGTCTGATTCCATCATAGAATCACTGTCGGTTAAACTACCATGCTCAAGGATGTGATAGTGGGGGTGTGCTATTATCCTCCAGATCAAAAACTTGAGGGGGACCTTGAAATGAGGAGACCAATCAGGGAGGTGTCCAAGAGGAACAGGATTGTAATCATGGGGGAATTCAATTATCCTCACATCAACTAGGCCAATGTGTGCTCGGGTCAAGAAAGAGAGACTGGGTTTCTTGACATGCAAAATGAATGTGCCTTGGAGCAACTTCTCATGGAGCCCACCAGAGGACAGGTGACTCTGGATGTAATATTGTGTGGTACTCAGGACCTGGTTAGGGATGTGAATGTCACTGAGCCGCTAGGGAATAGTGACCATGCTGTGATCTCTTTCACCATGCATGTTGGGGGGAGAGTGTCAAGCAAATCTGACATAAAAGCCCTTGATTTCTGAAGGGAGGACTTCCCTCAGATGAGGAAACTAGCTAGAAAGTTGTTGAAAGGGAAGGTAAAAAGAATCCAGTCTCTCCGGATGCATTGAGCCTGTTCAAAACAATGGTAGTAGAGGCCCAGCGGAAGTGTATACCGCAAAGAAAGAAGGGCTCAACTAAGTCCAAGAGGGTGCCGGCAGGGTTAACGAGCAGAGAGAGAGAGGCTTTAAAGGGCAAGGAAGGGTCCTTCCATAAATGTAAATCCTTCCCATATGAGGAAAATAAAAAGGAACACAACCTCCGGCGAAATAAATGTAAGAAGATGATATAGAAGGCAAAGAAAGACTTTGAGGGAAGTACAACCAGCAACATAAAGGGGAATAATAAAAGCTTCTTTAAATATGTTAGAAGCAGGAAACTTGCCAGAGAAGCAGCTGGCCCTCTGGATGGTGAGGGAGGTCAAGGGGGACTTGGAGATTGCAGATAAATTAAATGAGTCCTTTGCATCTGTCTTCACAACAGAAAATCTTGGGCAGATTCTGCTGCTCCAACGGCCCCTCTTGACTAATGAATTAAATCAGATACAGGTTAAAAGAGAGGATGTTTTAGACCTAATCAATAAATTGAAAATCAATAATTCACTGGGCCCAGATCCACCCAAGGGTTATTAAGGAACTGAGGAATTCAGCTGCTGATCTCTTAACTAAAATATACAACTTGTCCCTTAAAAATGGCCCACAGTGCCAGAGGATAGCACATGTCACACCGTTCTTTAAAAAGGGAAGGAGGGGGGACCCAGGAAACTACAGGCCAGTTAGCCTAACGTCTGTTCCATGGAAGATGGTGGAAAGCCTCATCCAAGATAAAGTCTCAAAACCCATAGAAGAACAAGCTTTGCTGGCGGAAAATCAGCATAACTTCTGTAAGAGTAATTTTTGCCTCACAAACCTTTTAGAATTCTTGAAAAGGTCAGCAGGCATGTGGATGCAGGTGAACCAGTGGATATTATCTATCTGGATTTTCAGAAGGATTTTGACACGGGCCCTCACCAAAGGCTGCTGAGAAAACTCCACAGCCATGGGGTAAGAGAGAAGGTCCGCTTATGGACTGAGAATTGATTGAGAACCAGGAAACAGAGAGTAGGTGTCAATGGGCAATTTTCACAATGGAGAGAGGTGAAAAGCAGTGTGCCTCAGGGACTTTTAAACCTGTTCATAAATGACCTGGAGACAGGGATAAGCAGTGAGGTGGCCAAGTTTGCAAAACTTTTCCAGGTAGTTAAGGCCAGAAGGGATTGTGAAGAGCTCCAGAAGGATCTCTCCAAACTGGGAGAACGGGCGGCAAAATGGCAAATGTGTTTCAGTATAGGAAAATGTAAAATAATGCACATTGGGGTGAAAAAACAAAACTTTATTTATTAGCTGATGGGTTCTGAGCTGTCCATGATAGATCAAGAAAGAGATCTTGGGGTGCTAGTGGACAGCTTAATGAACGTGTCAACCCAGTGTGTGGTGGCAGTGAAGAAAGCCAATTCCATGCTACGTGTCCTCAAAAAGGGGATTGAAAATAAAACAGCCAACATGATATGGTGATGGCATCTGGCCTAGATGCCTTTAAAAGGAGATTGGACAGATTCCTGGAGGAAAAGTTCCATCACAGGTTGTATAATCTCCAGGCTTCAGAGGAAGATACCTCAAAATGCCAGATGCGGGGGGGGGGGTATCAGGAGACATGTCTCTATCTCGTGTGCTCCCAGAGGCATCTGGTGGGGCCACTGTGAGATACAGGAAGCTGGACTAGATGGGCCCTTGGCCTGATCCAGCAGGGCTCTTCTTATGTTCCTAACTTCTAGGAATGGCAATTAAACTGGAACTGGACAGAAGTCTAATTTATTGTGATTCATATTGCTTTAATAAGGAAATGGCACAAGATCCTAGAGACTGCATTAATGGAATATTAATTAAATAACAGACACCTTGATTTTGCCCGTCCACTGAACTTGATTTTGTTGACATCAGTAGGGCCAGCCCCATCATTAGACAGAGTGAGGCAGCAGATTTTGGAGTGTCATAAAAGAGCAACACATTCCCCAATGGAATTTGGTCGTGTTGTTGTTGTTTTTAACTATTAGGAATTGGCAAAAGTTTTCTCTTATTCAGTAAATTTTCCTGTAATTCAGCCATCTTTGAAGTCTTTGCATCTTGATTTAAGTTGCAGTGGGGAACTACTGACATTGCTTGGGACAGCAAAGTCTTGGACCACCCTGGATTATAAGATGCAAAATAATGTGTGTTTGTGTTGTTAAACAGAGAGTAAGTATTATAATTGTGTCTTCTTTCCAACACTATAGGAGCGCCTCTTGCTTTCTGTACTTCCTCGCCATGTTGCCATGGAGATGAAAGCTGACATAAATGCCAAAAAAGAGGATATGATGTTTCATAAAATTTATATCCAGAAGCATGACAATGTCAGGTAAGTACGAAACAGGTGAGGTGGGGTGGAGTGGAATGGACCTACAGTTCAAACACAGCACTTTAAAAAAGCAATGAAACAAAGGCAAACAATGTATATTTTCCCATATTTCTTTTTGTGTTTCCCTATACCTTTTCTAGTTCATGATAGAAAGCTCTGGAGCTTCATAGATTCCTACTAGCTTTTATATCTGATTTCAAGCAGAAGACGTGCATATCACAATTAAGAATGACCTGGTATATTTTAAGGGTCAACAGGCAGAGAAAACCAAATCTATACCAAAAAATAGAATTGCTGTAATGACATAAATTGTGAATGCCATTACCTCTGTGCTTTCTTGCCCTCTGTTTCCTTATTGTGGGCAGTTAGAGGAGACAGCAAGGTGGAGAAAGAAAATTGGTGCTGTCAGTTTTAGGGCAAAAGGCATAAAGTGTCTGTGCTTTATTTTACTACATTTGCATTTGGATTGTATTCTGTTATTTAAATCCAGAAATGCTTCAAGGTTATTCTCTGAAATGTTTCTTAAGAAAAGAAGTAGAAAGCAGTAACTTTGCCTCTATGCCTTCAACTTTTAAAAATCTCTTTGAGAGCAACAACTGATAACATTATTTCAATAGTAATCTGTGTAGAGCTTTTTTGCCTTTTATTTTCTTATACTTACTGTGTGCATTGTCAGTCAGATAGAGTTTTCATTGTACACAAAGCCCTAATCATAATCTGAGTCATCATCATCTGAGTCATCTTAGAACTGCAGAACTGGAAGAGACCCTATGGACATTCCGGCCCCTATAAAGGAGGCACAGCGGGGAATCGAACTCCTAACCTCAGGCTCCTCAGCCAGTAGTCTAGACCACTGAGCTGTCTGCCTTTCAAATGACTGGATTTCCAGTAAGTGACACAAAATGAAACCAGGTTACAAACTATTTAAGCCAAAATCTTGCACTGACGGATTTAGAGTCATCTAATTAATGGGAAAACAAATTAATGTACTGAAATCATAGTACCCCTTATCTCATCCATGCATCATAGCCTGTGCTTTTTAATTAGAAGTAACCTGTCTCTATTGGCTTCATTGACTCTAGACCTATATCTGTTTGACATTTCAAAATGAGCCTTGTCCCCTGACAGCTGCCTCACTGAATTTAAATGCATGTATGAATGTCATATAAACAAACAACCATTTTTTAAATGAGGCCAAATTACAGAGAGGAAGGAAGAGCAATTAAGTATGAAAAAATGGTTGTAATGTACACAGGACAATGGAGGGATAGTATCTAAGAGAAGGCACTTAATCCAGTATCTCTGGCTTAATATAAACAATGGATTTAATGGGGTTTAAAAATCTTAAGATTGTTTTCAACAATAACATTAATGATATTAGTGTACCTTAGCTAGACTGTGACAACTTGAAGAAGTAAAATTTCACAACAAAAGAATGTATGTTGTTTCACATTAGTCTTTCTGAGTGTCTGTTGATTTACAAGTTTTCAAATTGCCTCATCACTCTTAGTGACTAAAATCACTTCTGTGGTAAATCAACAATATGCTATACAGTGGTGCATTGCAAGACGGTTTTAATTTGTTCCGTGAAAATCGTCGTCTTGTGAAAAAAATCGCCTTGTGAGGTTCCCTATGCATCGGTCTCAGAAAAAAGTCTTGCCAAGCATTGGTCTTAAAAAAAAGTCTTGCGAAGCACGGTCATAGAAAAAACCGTCTTGCGAGGCACCATAGTGATCAGAAAAACCAATTGTCTTGCAGGTTTTTTGTCGCACAAGGCAATTGTCTAGCGAGGCACCAGTGTACATCTAAATTGCTCCTTCCATTTTGGACCATCAGTGTGCCATAGATGACTGACATAGGCTATTCAAAGGCTTCAAAAGTTAACTGCAAGATTGCAGTTGTGGACAGGTATATATTGGAACCACAAAACGCAGCATTCACACCAGAATCAAAGAACATGACAGACACTGCAGACTAAAACAACTGGAAAAATCAACAGTAGCTGAACATGCCCTAAAACAAGCTGGACATGAAATTCTATTTCAAAATACTGAAGTACTGGACAAGACCAGCAATCATTATGTTAGATTGCACAGGGAAGCCATTGAAATACATAAATATCAGCATAACTTCAACAAAAAAGTGGAAAGTCTGAAACTGAACAAGGCCTGGCCTCCATCACTGGAAAGTACACGCTGAAGAAGGTCAACAAACTCTACCCAGCCACAAGGACCAGTGATCATTGCACAAAAGAGACCAGCTAAAGACACCCATCAATCACAGTGACAGATAATCTCTCCCACTTATCACAACTATACATCCACAACAAAAACACGCTGATCACTCTATCTCCTGAATAGGACAAAAGCTGTTCCCACAGCTATAAATACTCAACTATCCAACAAACAGCAACAGAGCATGGACAGAGTTCCGACTCCAGTCCTCTGAAGATGCCGGCCACAGAGACTGGTGAAACATCAGGAAGAACAACCTTCAGAACACGGCCAAAGAGCCCAAAAAACCCACAACAACCATCAGATCCTGGCCATGAAAGACTTTCAGAATACAGTACATTCCTTAAAAACTCAGTTTGTCCAACAGACGGCAATGATGAGTATATAAGCACTAATGTTTGATATGCACCATCATCAGGGCAAACCATTGTCACTCCTTCTTTAAAAGAAATGTCTACTTCTTTCCTGACATGCACAGGGTTGGAAGAGTTGCACATGCCTCTAGGTTCGTGGTGCAAGTACAGAACAAAGTAGCTTACATGGATTGGAATCAATCATCTTTATGATGCCTGTGATGCAGAGTTTTGAAAAGTTGCACTTTGGACTGCAACTCGGAGAGTTGTGCAACTTATTACCCCTACCTCATGCTGACTGAGAAATTCTGGTTCTGTTTGGGCATTCACCTTGTTTGTAATAACAGAAACAAACAATTGAGCAGTGACAATTGGTCATTTGGAAACTAGATTCAGTAGAAACCAAGGTTATATAGCCCTAGTTTCTCTCTACTCTTCTTCCTTCCTCTCCTGCTTTTCCCTGATAAAGCTTCATCATTTGTTTGAAACTCTGAATCTTGGCAGTAGAATAAATGGCACAAGCTAAGGAAATGCATTAAGTATAGTTGCCATAGGCATGACACACTGGAGGTGGACTCCCTGTGATGAATGGTCCTAGTCTACCATGTTTAGAAGGACACAATGGACAGAGATAGGATGCCGTGGTCTCAGCTTCTACTCCACACTTCTGGTAGAGAGTTGCAGTGAGAGGTAAGATGCTGTGTTTTTTACGTCACAGTCCTAAAGTTGAACAGTTAACTTTACCCTAGACAGATGGACCATTATCTGTGTTAGAAGAGTTACCAGGCAAATCTTTGAAGGAAGAGTCAATGCTGAGTAACAAAGTTGAACAGTTGTGTTTAGAAGAAGTAAAAGGAGTTAAATTGGAAAAAGAGTTATCTGTGAGTGTGTATGATAGCAAGGGAGAAGAGGGAGAAATGGGAGACCCTGGACCGGATCACAGTATTCCCTGACTGTATTAATGATATAGTACCTGCAGGAAACAGGAGTGAATAGGAGAGAAGAAAAGCAACCCAACAGGCAGCAATAATGAATAAGAGACTGAAAGCTAGAAAGACTTTATGTTTCATCACCTTCACTCTGATGCCAACATGTACAATCTCTCTTAGGGTGCTTTGTTCTAAGTGGAGCTTGCCTTAAGACAGGCCTGCAGAACTAATGATCCCCAAGTAGAGGCAATCTTCCTGCCATCTGTGGTGCCCCCACCCCAGTTGCTGGGCAGCCCTGTTCTTGCTGCATGCCTAGGACTGTAAGAACAATGGGATGGTGGGTCATTAGGGCAACTCATAGTGCTTACCTTTGGCTTTGTGAGCCTGGCTGAATTGTGCTTCTTTTGTGGAAGAGCATCCTTGGGTGCTTGAAAGATAATGGGAGAAAGTGTCAACGTTTTCACAGAGGTAGCTCTACTAGCCTTGTTTCAGCAAAAACAAACACAAGCAAAAACAAAAGTATTGTGGCATCTTTAAGAATAACACATTTATTTCAGTGTGAGTCAGACACATGAGGTACAATATTGTTTAACAGATAATGTGTTCCTTGCGTCTGAAAAGATGTATTGTTGTCCATGGACACTCCCATTGCAATAATATTGTTAGTCATGGTACCCTACATACAAATTTACTTTCCTCAGGGAAATTTGCCTGGTTCCTTCATGTCCTCTCTGCAACTTGCCAGACTCACTTCTGCTATAACCAGGAAACTGTGGGTGTATACCCTGTCCCTCCATTCCCAGTCTCCCATGTTGGCTGGGAAAGTCTGAAAGGGCAGTTCAACAGAATGGATTGCTCCGTGCAGCTGGAACTTAAGGAGCAATATAAACATGATTAGATTATCTTTGCACACCTTCCCTATAAGAGGGAAAGATCAGAAGTGGAAACAGCAAGGCTGAAGTACATTTCTGTAGTTCCCTCCATAGTTCTACAGTAGTTGAAGGCGTGTTCAGTGAATGCCAAAGGAAAAAGAAAAAGGCGCTGTCACCAGACAATGCTTTGATATAGATTCCATTATGTGGTGTAAAAGGGTTTTTACAGTTATAGTCATGGCGAACATTACTGGAGCTTTGGTGCCTCTCTGCTTCTTAACTCTGATTTTTATATAACATGCTTTCAGATGTATTTATGTGTGCACTGCTTTCAGAGTCTGAATGGCATAATAATGAATACCTGCGTACCATCAAGTCAGTTCTGACTTGCAGTGACCATTTCCAGGGTTTCCTAGGTAGAGAGTACTCACAAGTGGCTTATCCTTCCCTTCTTCTAGAGGTGCCCTGGGACTGCACAGCTTGCCCAAGGCGACACAGGCTGGCTTTTCTTCCAGGAGGCCCAGTGGAGAATCAAACTCCCAGTCATACCTAACTCACTGAGCTGTCCAGCCAACTAAAAGAACGGAATAGGCATATGCAACACATAGTACG